AAACCAGGTCTAAAACCAGGTCTAAACCAGGACTAAACCAGTACTAAACCAGGTCTAAAACCAGGTCTAAAACCAGGTCTATACCAGGACTAAACTAGGTCTAAACCAGGACTAAACCAGGTCTAAAACCAGGACTAAAACCAGGTCTAAACCAGGACTAAAACAGGATTTAACAGGACTAAACCAGGTTTAAACCAGGTCTAAAACAGGATTTAACAGGACTAAACCAGGACTAAACCAGGACTAAAACCAGGACTAAACCAGGTCTAAACAAGGACTAAAACCAGGTCTAAAACCAGGTCTAAACCAGGACTAAACCAGGATTAAAACCAGGTAAACCAGGAATAAAACCAGGTCTTAAACAGGATTTAACAGGACTAAACCATGCTGCACTGACCTTTTCATTGTCTTTTATCAGACAAAATATCTAATGTGAAGACAAAATATCTAATGTGAAGATTTCTCTACAGCAAATCAAGTAATCCAAAGTATTCAGATTACTTTACTCACTTTAAGTAATTTAATGGATTATGTTACAAACTACATTTTGGGGTATGTAATCTATAACCTTCCCAACACTGCACTTTGATATAGAATGTGATAAATGTTCCTTCTGTGATGTGGACATAGAAACAACAGAGCACCTCTTCTTTCAGTGTGTCCATATTTTACTTTGGGGAGACGTACACTTCTACTGTTCTCTAAAATACTCCGTCTAAAGGACTTCACCAAGAAAGACATTCTCTTTGGACTTCTATGTAAGGATAAAAAACATGAACTATTTGTGAATGTTAATATTATACTTGGAAAATATTTCATTCACGAAAACTATTTGTTGAAATGTAAACCCCTTTTCATAACATTTATCAAAGAGCTGGAACTTTTTTTGGACCTCTTTTTCCTTCATGGACAACAAGAGCGCTATCATTCTCAAAGATCTTATCCCTGGCTATGAACTCCTAGACCTATAGTACCTAATAAAATGTATTTATTTGTGTTTTTTTTCATTTACTTTGTTCCTGTCTGACCTCTCGATTGTCACGCTTAATTACGTGACCATTTAGCACTGCCAGTTTGTTTGTATTATATAATTCCATACAAATTACACATGAAAAACTTAATTATTTACCATAGCTGCAGCATACGAAGTTCTGAGGTCTAACAGCAAGAGGGAGATCGGCATGACCTTCGTGTTCATCTTCATCACTTACATGTCCTTGATGAAGTGCAGTCAACTGAGTTTGTGGACGTGCATCTGTGTGAGAGAAACAAGGACAAACCATGGTACTGTAATGTTCTTTTGATTGTCAGCCGTCAGTGTTGGGAAGGTTCCTTTTAAAATGTATTCCCCTACAGATTACATATTACATATCCCAAAATGTAGTCTGTAACGGAATCCATTAAGTTAATTAAGGTGAGGAACGTAATCTGAATACTTTGGATTATTTGATTTGCTGTAGAGAAGCAAAGACTAGGATATCGTAACATAAGATGTTTTGTCTGATAAAAGAAAATAAAAATCCCAGACTTTACTTAACTGTATTAAAAATATTATTGATAGAAGAGGAGGAAACACGTCCCCGCAGCATGATTTAGTCCTGTTAAGTCCTGTTTTAGTCCCGTTTTAGTCCTGGTTTAGACCTGGTTTTAGACCTGGTTTAGATCTAGTTTAGCTCTAGTTTAGTTTCTGGCAATGAGTGGAATTACAGAGAGAAAAATAAATAAATAAAAATATATAATATATATATAATATATATATATATATATATATCCCAAAATGTGAAAACAGAAAAATACCGCCATGTAATCCATTTATTTCAACAAAGTAACTGTAATCCAATTACCACTCACTGAAACAGTAACTGTATTCAGTTACAGTTACTGTTTCATAATTTGTACTCTGATTAGGTAACTCTGGTACAGGTCTAAACCAGCACTAAACCAGGTCTAAACCAGGTCTAAACCAGGACTAAACCAGGTCTAAACAATATGACACTAACAGTAGGATGGACATAACTGAAGGCAGCAGTGATCTCATATAGAAATCATTTCTCTATCAATAATATTTTTAATACGGTTAAGGAAAGTCTGGGCTTTTTATTGTCTTTTAGCAGACTAAACATCTTCATCTTTGCTTCTCTACAGTAAACAAAAGTCTGTTCATGGAGACTTGGGCTCAACAGACAATTTGAAGAGAACAAACAAGAATTTTCAAGATGTGGTCACTACATTCATCTAGTTTTAAAAAGCATGACAATATCAAGTAATCCAAAGTATTCAGATTACATTACTCACTTTAAGTAATGTAATGGATTATGTTACAAACTCCATTTTGGTGTATGTAATCTGTAATCTGTAGGGGAATACATTTTAAAAGTCACCTTCCCAACACTGTATACAAAGTCTTAATGGACTCACTCCACCATCTCTGGGTGAGTTCATTAAGCCCAAGTCCAGCACTAGTGATCGGGTAACAAGAGCCTCTACCAGAGGCGACTGTGCAATACCCTATAGACGAACAACTTTCAGTCTGCAGGTGTTATCAGTCAAGGAAACAGAAATCTGGAACAACATCCCAGCTGCTATAAGAGACTCCACCACATTCAGTTCATTTAAAACTAATCTGAAACGATGGCTTAAGAGAAACCAGATCTGTAACCACTAATGTTCTGCTCCTATGTAAATGTCAGTGTTGTATGTCATGCTTGTGTGTTTGTCTATTGTGACGTGTTTTATGTTCTTATGTTCTTATGTTTTATGTCTCTCTCTCTCTGACCTGCCAGGGACTACAGATGAACAGTACCTTCGGGCTAATTCTGGCGTATTTACAAGTATATGTTCATGAATACGCATTGTCTCTTTTAAATAAATAAAACAAAAAAAACAAAAATTCTATTGGTGTCATTAAGGTCAGGCGTGTCCCTTATTGTCAGATTCAAGGTCAAAATATAGGTCAAAAGGTCATTCATCTCAAAAGTACATCTCAAATGCAAAAACAAATTCCAGATTCTTTATGATTTCCCCTTTCCTTGAGATACTTTGGCTTTTGATATTGGACCAGTAGTTGCTGAGTAAATGCAATTTGAAATTTGGCGACCATGAAAAAAAGTGAAAAAATGAAATTGCCATATCTTGGAAAACGTTACTCTGATCATGCTAAAATTTGAGATTTGGGATTACCCATACACCAATTCTTTGCAACTGGACAACGTGAGTGAATAGCATTTTTTTGCGGGGGTGAATTGAGGTGGAATTACCCTTAGATAAAAACTGCCTAAGTCAAATCATATTCTGCCTAAGTCACTTTTATTTGTTATGCAATCAATGTTGTGTCTTACTTTTTTTGGAAACATGTTTACACATCTGGTTGAACTTTTTATTACAATATCAATTAAAAATACCAATGTGCTTGTCTTTTTCTTGTTTTCGGAAAATGTTCAAGTATGACTTTGGCAACGATGCTATGAGGCTAACGACATCTTTCTGATACTTTGAACATTATTTCAACAAAATAAAGGTGTTTTCTCACATTGGAAAAAAAAAAGTGTCGTGTCATATCAAGTGAACTGAAAAGACCATTTATCTAGCCAAGTAAAAAGAAAAATATTATTATAACCAACTTACCCACTTACAGTTGTTGGTACCCCTCTGGAAATGAAAGAAAAATCAACCATTTTTACTGAAATAACTTTAAAGTAAGAAAAGCAATAATAAATAAAAAATTCCTGACAAATAACAGTGAAAATCAGGCACTGTTTTTAAATTGTTGTTCGACAGAATTATTAAAAAAACAAACTAATGAAACTGGCCTGGACAAAAATTGTGGTACCCCCGAAGATTGTAAGTAACTGAACAATAGGGACATGTTAAACTTCGGTGTGTCTTCTAATCTGCATCACAGTTGTCTTCAAACTTGTCCTCAGTCCTCGTAGTAGGTCGTAGGTCATGGGTCTTCCAACAGGATAATGACACAGCTAAAACACACAAGAATGGCTAAGAACAAAACATTGGACTGTTCTGGAGAGTTCTTCTGTGAGCCCAGATCTCAATTCTACTGAACATCTGTGAAATGAGCGGAAACATGCTGTCTGGAGAAGGAACCCTTCAAACCTGAGACAACAAGAACAGTTTCCTCACGAGAAATGGGTCAAAATACCAGTTGATCAGTGAAGAAGTGTTATTGACAGTGACTGAAATCGTTTGTTTGCAGAGTTTGCCTCAAACGTCTGTGTAACAAAATATTAAGCTAAGGGTACCATCATTTTTGTCCAGGTCATTATTTTGTTATTTCTATTAATTCTGTTGAACCAGAGGGGAAAAGCAATGTTTGATTTTTGTTGGACAATTTTCAGTAATTTTTATTATTTCCTTTATCAGTTTCAAGTTATTTCAGTGATTATTGTTGATTTTTTTTCATTGCCAGAGCGGTACAAACAATTTTATCCACGACTGTACTTACCTCACTCACCCTGTTTACTTTTAGCTCTTTAGTGTAGGGTGACGAGATTTTAAAAATAAAAGACTGGAACGTCCCTGGTTTGTGTTGGTTGGTAATAATAAAATTGTACGTAAAAAGTGCGTAATTAAAGAAAATTGTTATGCTGACTAATGTGAGTTAATATAGTCAAACTGGTAAAAATAGGGACACGTGGGACATTTGTTGTATAAAACTGGGAGAAATCAGTGGTTTTGTATAAATCTGCTGGGACAGGGGACACGGGGCTCAAAACTGGGACTGTCCCGGGATAAATAGGAACGTTTGGTTACCCTATTTTAATGCAGTGTCCAGAAGCAGAAGCCATGAGCTGCTCCATCTTCACATCTTCATGTCCCGTCTCTGTTTTCTCTGTAATTCCGTGAGGGGACGCCGCCATCTTGTGGAAGAAGCGCGAAACAGACACGTTTGGTAACAGCACTATGCCCCTCCCTCTAAAACAAATCCCATTGGCTGACGTTTTCGCAGCGAATAATCTGATTGGTTACTCTATGCTGTCAGTGAAAGCACCCGGAAACATTTTTTTCCCCTTGTCTTTAGATCATCTTCAAGTAATAACCTCTTTCTGTCTGTCAGAGTAAATAAATAAGAAATTACAGTAGTTTATTTATTTATAGCTATGCCCACGTCTCCAGTAAAAACGCGGATTCCTCTCACAAGCTTCGGACATCTTGTGACAGAAGTGAAGGTGAGACATGACCTCAGTCGTGCAAGGGACAGTCAATGGTGCAATGTCAAAACTTCTCATAATTTACTGTTTTTGCACTCAATCAAATGCAGCTTAATCGATCTCAGGACTAGGATCTCAGTGCTTCGACTGTTGCTGTGTTATTGAGCCAGACACTTCACCTGAATAGGATGACCAGATTATCAGAATTCAGAACTGGGACACACTGGGGTTGGGATGACTGGTATGAATAAAATTTCTGTACATTTTCTCTATTTGGCTAAACAAATGACAATTTATGCTCCTCTTTACTGATGGCGGGGATCAGATTAGTCAAAAATTGTGACAGTCCTGGTTTAGATCTGATGTAGTCCTGGTTTACTCCTAGTTTAGTCCTGTTTTAGTCCTGGTTTAGTCTTAGTTTATTCCTGGTTTAGTCTTGGTTTAGTCCTGGTTTAGTCTTAGTTTAGTCCTGGTTTAGTCTTGGTTTAATCCTGGTTTAGTCTTGTAGTCCTGGTTTAGTTTAGTCCTGTTTTAGTCCTGGTTTAGTCTTAGTTTATTCCTGGTTTAGTCTTGGTTTAGTCCTGGTTTAGTCTTAGTTTAGTCCTCGTTTAGTCTTGGTTTAATCCTGGTTTAGTCCTGATGTAGTCCTGGTTTACTCTTAGCTTAGTCCTGGTTTAGTCCTGGTTAGTCCTGATATAGTCCTGGTTTAGTCCTGATGTAGTCCTGATTTAGTCCTAGTTTAGTCCTGGTTTTGTCTTAGTTTAGACTTGATGTAGTCCTGATTTAGTCTTAGTTTAGTCTTGGTTTAGTCTTTGTTTAGATCAAATATGTCAAAAATAGGAACACCTAGGACTTTTCTTGTATAAAACTGGGACAAATCAGTGGTGTTGTATAAATCTGCTGGGACAGGGGACACAAGGGTCAACACTGGGACTGTTCTGGGTAAAAGAGGACGTCTGGTCACACTATCAATGATACAATTTCAGACTTCTAATAATTAGCTGTTTTTGCATTCAGTCAAATGCAACTTAAACAATCTCAGGACTGTGCGTTTACTGATGCGTAGGTTGGTGCTTTGACTGTTGTTGTGTCATTGAGCCAGACACTTCACCTTAGTCACTTGTCCTGTATGAAGCACAGTTGTTAGTGGGAGGGGCCGATAAATGAATGAAAAACACAGTAGACCTCTATACTGCCCAGTAGAGCGAGTGAAATAAACTGCAGTTATCTTGATCAAGTAGCTGACAGTTAATTAACATGTTTAATTAATTAAAGGGCTCATATTACACTATTTTCTGTTGTATGTTATAATGTTGTTTCCTCAGTTAACACACACATCCCACATATTGAAGGTGAATTCTTCTCCAAAACATGAAAATAAGCTGTTCCACCTTGTGATGTCATGTGGTCATACAGGACGTGCTGTGTTTTCAAACTTCATACACCTTCACTAGAGTCATCTGGATTACTTCAGCTCTTGAACTGCCAGTCTCTACTGACCTAAAGGTAAAAGGAGCTGTTAACCTGAAAACTACCACTACATGAGATCACAAGGTGGAGAAGAGCATTTTGGGCTTTAGAGTTGTACACAGACTATGACAAGGCTGTTTCAACATTTAAATGCTAAATTTGACTGTCTGGAATTAACAGTGTAGATATCAACAAAGCCTTTCATTTTGGATAGTGGGAATTGTCATTTGAGAGATCTGTAACGTAATTCTGACTAGACAAAACGTTGTCTCTGGCTACTTGCTGTGCCCAATCCGTCCAAAAAGCCTGTCACTGTTAAAATTTGTTATTGTCGTCAATCTAATTTTCAACAAATGTTTCACTAGAGTGCATTAACAAAAAGCCCTTAAGATGCATTTTGGCTCTTACTGATAAATGATCTTTCTGTTAAGAGCTACAGGGGCCATGTGGAAACAGTATACAGATTTTGCAGCGTCATTTCTCCTCATCAAAACTCCAGTTCAAGAAATCTGTAATTTATTTTGACTTGGCACAAAGAAATTTACAGATATCTCCAATTTCAGATATCTCTAATCAAATTCATTACAAGATATCTAATACTTGATAAGAGAAATCTACAACTAAATTATGACTATCTGAAACTCCAGTTAGAGATATCTACAACGTCATTTTAATTAGTTGTAATTCCACTTAGACATCATTTGTCAAAACCTAGTCAAAACTTAATTTAAGATATCTGAAAAGGAGCATGTAGATATCTTCAACTGAGGTGAATTAAATATAATTAACTTAAGTCATGACTAGTAAGAATCAAATTGTAGATATCTCAAACCGGAATTACAGATCTCTATAATTCAGTTGCAGATATCCCATAGGGGCGGCAGTAGCTCAGTTGGTAGAGCATTTGCCCACTGATCTGAAGGTTGGCGGTTCAAATCCAGCTCTCAACATAAAAAAAACCAAAACATCACAGGTTGAGCGGTCAGATCCACTGACCCACAGGTTGGCTGGTGTGATTCCAGCTCCCACAGATGAATGCTGCCGTTGTGTCCTTGGGCAAGACACTTAACCCACCTTGCCCACAGTGTCTGCGTACACTGGTGTATGAATGTTTGTGTGAATGGGTGAGTGGTTCCTTGTTGTAAAGCGCTTTGAGTGCCTTGAAGGTGGAAAAGCGCTATAGAAAAATGTGACCATTTACCAACTCAGTTGTGGATAGATGTCATTTTGAAACCCATGAATGAATGGCAAATGTGACGTCATTTGCCCTGTGAAGAATGACATTGTGGAGATCTACAAATGACAGTTATGGATAGGAAGAATGTTGTTGCGGATATCAGAAGTTTTCTTTTTCACTAGGCAAAACTGAGTCAGAGGTATTTGTAATACATATCCAGCTTAGCGTTTAAATGTTAAAACAGCTTCCCATACACAGATTAATAATAAAAGATAACTCAAACATGTGAATGAAACAAAACACAAATCTGTTTTTATGGAGGTAACAACATTCTAGCATGACTTAAAGCTCATAAGAGTCAATTGTGTATAATACAGCACATGTAATTAAAACCGTTAAGTAGGCCGAGAGAGAAGTAACTTTTTGTAAAGGAGGGGAGGGTCCACCACCTGCTGATTTTCATGATGTTCTACAGCACAGGTGTCAAACATAAGGCCCGGGGGCCAAATCCGGCCCTCCAAGACCTTTAATCTGGCCCTCAGCTGATTTTCTACTAAAATATTTTAAAATATTGTTAATTTTTTGTGGTGTTTATCACAGCAGCGTCTCCAGCGTCTCTGTACGTGGCCCCTCCCACCAGAGCAGCACAAATTAAGACTTGTCTCTTTCCAAACGCTCTTAAAGGACGATCGTTTTGACTGTTGACCGTGACACCCTCATCAGAAAAATGTCCAACATGAGAAAAGTGGAGCCGAGTGCAGGATTTTACAAGAAAAATTGACATATTCCTATTTACATACAAGTTCATGTTAAAACATTGTGTTGAAATTGTATTTTTCTTAAAGTTTCAGGTTGTTCATAATATTATAATATTTTGTAAAAGAGTTCATCAATTAAAAAAGATTTCTGTAATAGATTTGTGTTTCTCTGCACAAATATTTAAACCTATTGTTATTTTTGGGGTTTTTATGCCATGAGTTTTCTGATCCGGCCCCTTTGAGATCAAAGTAGGTTGGATACGGCCCCCGGACCAAAATGAGTTTGACACCCCTGATCTACAGTATGACATTAGACTGATGCATCTCCATGGCGACAAGCAAGCTGCAGGTCATAAAATTGGCCATTTACAGTTTACTATGGTAGGGGTCAGTATAACCAAAAGTAATAATAATCCATAATACAAATATTATATATATTATATTAAAATGCTAGACTACTATGGAATTTACCTGGACGACTGAGGGATTACACGGACATAAGATCACATGGTACTATAATCGATATATTGCACATAATATATTGCTATTTTTAAAGAACCAAATACATTTTAGTAATTATATTTCTTTGTTAAACCACTACCTAGTTTCTTAATCACTGCCTGTGCAAATTAATATGAAATAAATTTATTTTAATCATCGAAACAGTGAATATGTCAAATGTATTGCATAAACAAGTTTCCTTCCACTAGGAAAATTGCTAAAATATACCAAAAATACTCTTGGTTAATGATACAACAACCCACGATAACTATATTGTATCACCAAAAGTTAGTATCATGATATGTCTGTATTTTTATTTATTACTATTACTATTTACTCTAAGTCAGAGTCAGTTTCACATTTGAACAAAGATGAGTAAGTACAAAATCGTGTGACATTATCTCTTTCCAGATCTTTGTTCTGTTACTTTCACATTCAGTATGAGGTCTGTTAAAGCTCGTTAGAGAAGCACTTTGATTAGAGATTGTTATTCTTCTTCTGCCAGCATGACTAAGAAAACACAGCTGGGTAGAGTAGCCAAAAATCTTACTTGCATTACTTCAAAATAATATTACTGAAGTAGAGTAAAAGGTAATTGGGGAATGTGCTGCTCAAGTAAGAGTAACTTAAAGAGTAACTGATCATTTATCATTTCAATTTGATATCAATTTCAATGACAAAACATTAAATAATGCACAAAAGCTGGTATTTTCAAAGGACAGACACAAAAATGAGACAAACAAAGTCATATCTGAAGGAGCTCTGCAAGAAACATAAATGTTCAAATCATTTCAAATTGTCAACATAAAGCTTCTGTCACTCAGAGTGGGAAGAGTATCCAAACTTTTACTCAAGTAACAGTACTGCTATTTCAATAAAAACAAGCGCAATCAGAGATAGAACCTGGTCCCCATGAGGCATCAGTGGGGTCAGTTCATCAGCACAGAAGCAGTTTATGAGGAGTCCAGCCCATATTACATGATCATTATATAAACAATACAATGTGTGTATGTGTACAGGCCCATGAACATTTGTGTGATATTGGTCACACATGAGAATGTCTGTGTTTAATAGTGTGTAACAAAAAATTTTCAGGAGTTGTGTGTATGTTAGTTGTGTGACTGTAGATCAGTGTGTTGTGAATCACCAGGAAAACAAGAAATGAAAATTATTTTCATTCTAATTATAATTTTAACGGCTACACTGAAAGAGAAAGAGCTGTTCTAATTAGTGATTATCTGGAAAACTATTCATATTTGACTATACAAATGCATAGAATTATAAATAGATCATAATTTTTCTGAGATTTTGAGACCCACGCCCGTAGCTCTAGCTCCATCCTTGGCGGAGTTAAGACCAAAAACGCATATTTGACCTTGGTTACCTTGACCTTCAAGTGGGCTTGACCCACATACTAAATTTGGTGACAATCGGTCCATAAATGCCAGAATTATCGCGGGTGGACAGACACACAGACACACACACACAGAGACAGGGTGAATACAAAACCTGGTCAACCCTTCAGGGACCAGGTAATAATATTACTCAAGTAGGAATAAAAGTATGCTGCTAGAAAAGTACAATTTCTTTGAGAGTAAATATAACTGAGCCCTACTCACTTCTGAAGGAAATTTTAACAATCTAAACGGAACAATAGCAACTGTGTGTGTATTTTTTTGCATTTCAGAGACAGCTGTTCGGGATCGAGCCTCCTACGTCGCTGGAACTCACTGGCTGGAGGAAATACTTCAACAGCTACACAGCGCTGGGACGACGGAATGTATGTACTGTCAAATATTATAACTATAAGACTTTAGATGTTCAGTCCATCAGTCGATCAGAATGTCATTTTCTTTTGATAATAAGGATTTATTTGGGACAGCAGCAGAAAGGAGAAGTGAGTGTGTGAGTTGGGTGAGACCCGAGACACCATATTGCCAATCAACTCACATTTTCTTCGCTATCGGTACACATCCACTGCTCCGTACTCACTTCGTTGAACAATTTGCAGTATGATGTCTTGAAAATAAGTGATTAAAGATTCCTCAAACCTGCACAAATCACTCCAAATACAACTTTGAGAGGGTAAATGAGAATAGGAAACAACCGGGACATGGTTAAAAGTAGGGATGTAACAGTAACGGGAATATTGTGATATCGTATCGCCAAAAGTCTCACAATAATATCATGAGCTGTCGCAATATATCGAATCACACGTTCCTTTGCTACAGCTTATAAACATTGGGAACTACATATCCCATGATTCATTTCAGTGCAGACAACATGAAGAAATACAGTCAAGCCCAAAATGATTCATACCCCTGACAAATTTTGACTTAATGTTACTTTTATTCAACCAGCACGTTTTTTCTTGATTGGAAATGACACAGGCGTCTCCCAGAAGATAATAAGACAATGTACAAGAGGCATCATTGAGGAATAAAATTATTTCTCAGTTTTTATTTACATTTGAACAAAAAGTGGCTTGTCCAGAATTATTCATACCCTTCTCGATAATCAATAGAAAAGCCTTTATTGACTATTACAGTAATCTAATGCTTCCTATAATTGCTGACCAGTTTTTTGCATGTTTCCACTGGTATTTTTGCCCATTCATCTTTAGCGGTGAGCTCCAGTGCTTTCAGACTGGAGGGTCTCCTCGCCATCACCCTGATCTTTAGCTCCCTCCACACATTCTCAGTTGGATTCAAGTCAGGACTCTAACCCAAGTCCAAGTTCCTCTGCAGCTGCTTGATGTTGTTGTTGAGAATCTTGATCTATTGCTCTTTGTTCATGGTGCTGTTTGCTGTGATTAAACTCTCTGGACCATTGGCTGAAAAAACATCTCCAAAGTATTAGGTTCCCACCATCATGTCTGACAGTGGGGATGGTGTTCTTAGGGTTGAAGGTTTCCCCTTTTTAACGCCAAATCATCAATACATCATTGTGGCCAAACAATTCAATTTTTGTTTCATCTGACCATAAAACAAAAGACCATAAGTCTTCTTCTTTGTCCAGATGAGCATTTGCAAAGGCTAAACGGGCTTTTGTGTGCCTTATCTGGAGAAGTGGCGTCTTCCTTGATCTGCGTCCGTGGAACCCAGCAGTATGTCGTGTCTGTTGGATTGTCTGCCTTGAGATGTCATTACCAGCAGAGCCCAGATTCACCTGGATGGCCTTGGTGGTGATCTGTGGATTCTTTTTCACCTCTCTCACTGTCCTCCTGGCCAGCACAGGTGTCACTTTTGGCTTCCGACCACGTCCTCTGAGATTTTCCACAGTGTGGAACGTCTTGTATTTTTTAATAATACTTTGCACTATCGCCACTGGAGCTTGAAAATATTTCGATATGTTCTTATAGCCCTTTCCTGACTTGTGAGCAGCCACAATACACAGCAGCAGATCTTCAGAGAGCTCCGTTGTCTTAACCATGACTGTTCACAAACCAACTGCTGCTGACCTGCTGTTTTTCACCTGTTCACTTGCTTAAAACAGCTCCTCCCAATGAATCAGCAGAATTAGGAAGTTTTAGAACAGCTTCCCCTGTTTTTAATAGTATAGAACTTTGGATTTTTCCATAGACTCTGACAGTTTACACAGGGTATGAATAACTCTGGACATGCCACTTTTTGTTCAAATGTAAATTAAAGCTGAGAATTTTTTTTTTCCACAACGATGCCTCTTGTATCATCTTATTATCTTCTGGGAGACGCCTGTGTCATTTCCAATCAAGAAAAAACGTGCTGGTTGAATAAAAGTAACTTTAATCAAAATTTGTCAGGAGTATGAATCATTTTGGGCTTGACTATATGTTTTTTATTTGAATTCTTGGGATTATGACGGAAATAATTAGCACCAAAATCTTGTCAAGGTATTTTAAAAGCCAAAATTTTTCCATCAGCCTCTTCAAAATATCGCTTTAAATATCGTACCGTGAGATTCATATCGTGATAATATTGTACTGTGAGATTTGGATATCGTTACATCCCTAGTTAAAAGGTCTAAAAAGTCGCTTTGAAATGTGTTTGCCTAATATACTGAAGTTGTTTTTTTTGATAGTGAAAGTACTTTTTGTTTTCAACTTATTGTGCAAAATTGTCTTACTGTAACTTTCAACATACTTCTTGAATGTTACACCATGGAACTGCTCTTCTCTTGAAAAGGGAAATAAATAACTACAATCACTTCTGTTGTCTAACCATTTCCAAGGAAGAGCTATAAATATACGATAAATCACTGCTGTAAAAGTACATATATTAAATGTGTAAACCGTGTCATGTTTTGCAGTGCGTCTTGGCCACGTACGGCATCCTGGTCGCCACGGCAACGGTGTACGTGATGCATAGGCGAAACAGTCAAGAGAAGAAGACACAGCCCGCAGTCTGATGAAAGAAGATGTGCCGGCATGAAGAAGACATTGACACTAAACATGGACATACACGCAATAGAATAATCTTAATAAATCTGAATTTTTTTCCTGAACTTTTTTGCTCGTATTTGCATAGGTTGGTCACGTATTTGGCTGCAGTAAATATTCTCACCACCAGATGTCTGTATTTGTTTCATAAAGAAGCTGCTTAGATGAGTTCTGACTGTGTTCATTCTTAAAAACATTTGTCTAATTAAGAGATTTTATTTTCTTTTGCAATGGAACCTGCCTGGACGACAAAGGGACGACGCGGACATCTTTATTCCGGATGAGTCGTTTCATTTTCATTTGAGGTTTTCGTTCAAAAAGAAAGCACTGGAATTTGATGCATGATAATGTGTGGTTTAATTTCTTAGACCACATCTGAGCATATGTGTCAAACCACAAAATGTTATGTTTGCAAAGTGAAACAGTAACATGTGAAGGCGTACACAAAGTATACAAGCAGGTAAACCGTCACACAATGAAAATGGTGCATAAATCTTGCATACATATAATTATGTTTTGAATGCCTCTGGGTTGTATAACTTTGAGATTTTGTCCTACTTTAAAAATGAAAATGGTGCAGTGCAATTAAAGAGACATAAACATAAACAGTCTGGGCTCCGGATACAAGTTAGACATGCTCAAATCAAAATAAGACTTCGAAAATATATAGCGATATCAATTGCAATGGTCATTTATTTTCAGGGTGTTTATCCAATCAGAAAGCAGCTTCACATGAGTCTTTCATTTGTGTTGCCAGTTTCAAAGCTGAAATCCAGTGAGTTTAAACCTAAAATGTCTCTGATCTGAATGGTCACGTCCTAAACCCCAGCACCTACAGACAATCATGAGTCAGTGCTAGTGCAGCTTCTGCCGGTCAGGGAGGGAATTCTGGAGGTTCTGAGCTTCACATGAGGCCTGAACATAAAAAGAGAATGAGGTAAACTTGTTCGTGTCCAGTGTGTGCAGTTAAGGCTCTGGGATTTGTGATTATAGTACCTTAAAAACTGTAAGAGCAAACAGTTCCTTTAATTAATACTCATAGGTTCTAATTCAGTTATATCATTATTTGGTGGTATTATTAAACCAAACAAAAGTGAACAAAATGTTTTTTAGAAAGCAGCGCTCTGAATCCCAGTGGAATAGTGCAGCTGGAACATGAGCTATTTTGGCGACACTTTGTGGTAAAGCTTAAAATTACATCTTCACGCTTCAACCGTAATTTTACAGCCTACTTTATGATTCCAACAAATAGAAGTTTTTTTTATTTGTTTTTTATGATGATGTTCCCTCAACTAACCTAATAATATAGCCTAACTTATTCATTGATAGCTAATACCAAGTTTCAGTAACAGTAATAGTTCATGCCAAAAGTTCTGTGCCTATAAATGCGAGTGCTTTTAAATAATAAATGACAATTGAGCCACAGAAACGCATAAGAACAATTATACTGCAGAAAAGTGCAGCGCTTCCAGTATGTCACGTGACTTATAGGAAAGCTCCGTGCTTATTTTGAAAGTGAAAGTAAATCGGACCCTCACCTGACAGGAGGGGGTAGGGAGGCTTCTGTCCGCACATGCTCAGAAACCAAATCACGTGTCTCCTCCTCCTGATAAACACGTTATGTTCAAATCCAAAACGAAAGTATGAAGACAGAAATGTTATGATTGATAGACTGTGCCGGCCGGGCAAGAGCGGACTCCTCTTCCCCCAAAACAGTTCACCACACTTCGCCTCAGTAGCCCAAGTAAGTCAAACTAATTTTATTAATTTAAGTTAATGCATTGCTCCGGTACGCACAGTTTGGCACAGCACAAGCGCGCGTCACCTGTTGCGTGCGTAATATAACGTAGCTTTAAAAAGTGTTTGCATTCATTCATGTGTTTCAGTCTGACTTTTGAGCGTGTTTTCATGACATTAACCTTTTTGCCGGTCACTGTCAGTTTCAGGGACCACTTACGCACGGTTACGCAAATGTGTTTATGCAATTTATAAAAAGAAAAACTTTGATCCAGTTGTCAGAATTGTATTTTTCCTTTGCTATGAATCATACCTGAACGACTCATGGTTTACACAGAGAAATGATATTCAATTCAATTCAAAGTAAGTAAAGTATTTATGTTTGATTTGTAGCACGATGAAGGCTTTAAACTGGATTGAAAACAGCCAATAGCGATGAGACGTTCGCGAACCGTGAACCGTGAACCGGGACCTGATCAATTCTGTTAAAAGAATCAAATCTTTTTTTCTTTTAAATGTGTATGCATTTTTATACTATTATAGTTTTGCGCTGAACCATCTCCAAGAATGAGCACAGAGGCAGAACAAGCGGCACGACTGAGAAATTCCTGCACAAAAAAAGCATAATTTGTTTTTCTCCAGTTCGTTTTTTAGTGTTAAAAGTGCAACATTTTATCTAGATTTCCATCATTAAGGATTGTAACTATAACTAGAACAAGGAAAGCACATGCATTCACTTTGCTTGAACTATTTTAAAATGACCTTGTGATTATTTTGCAGATAAAATGAGTTCTGTAATGCAAATTCTGTAAATAGAAGCTTACAAGAGCCAGTACTTTGAACGGCTCTTTGAAGTGATAGGATCCGAATGAGTCAGAACCACAAAGGAGCCAAAAGTCTAGTCAGGAATAGCAAACAGGGAATTTGCATGCAGGGAAGTCGACTTAATCCACAGGAGCAAGTTTGAGTATTTAAAATAACTCCAAACCTGCAGAATTCATTTATTTGCATTCATATTTATTAAATATGTATGTAAATTTACTGAAAATATGTTGAAGTGAAAATTAAAGCAGCAGCAAAGTAAGTAAAGGTTAAAACTTTGCATAAAAATAAATAAAAATTAATTTATATATTGAACATATATTGGTGGAATGTAATAATGTAAAAGTAGTTAAAGTACTGCACTACTTTAACTATCTGTACTGATACTTTTACTTTTGCTTCACTTCATTTGAGCACAGGTGTGTGTTCTTTCCACTCCATTACACTTTCGAACAGGACTGAAAAGTAAAAGTGTGTTTTTTCTTGTAGTTTGAACACATTTGCAGCTCGAGCAAACAAAAATATACAAATAAAAACTTTGAAATTCAAAATTCAATTCAAATTTCTTTCAAAATCACTACGTTCGAAGCTTCGTTAGACCTCAAAAACATTTACTTTTTACTCCTGAAGTACATTTTTAAGCACAAACTTTGATTTAAGTTGATTTTTTTCATGTCATGTCATACTTTTATTTTTACTTGAGTATTCTTTTGCACGTGTCTGTACTTTTACTTAAGTAACAAAAAAGTGGTACTGAATGCTTTAAAATTCATAACACATGTCTTTAGAATCTTCCTGTATTCAAGTTTTGTCAGCTAAAAGAAAATAAACTGCCCAGTCTTTCCTTAACCAGATTAAACATATTACTGATAGAGAAATGTTTTCTGTATGAGACACTGCTGCCTTCAATTATGTCCACCTACTGTTAGTGTCATATTGTTTAGACCTGGTTTAGTCCTGGTTTTATTGGCCCGAGCCAGTAACGAAGTAACTAGTAACTGGCCAGAGTGACCCGACTCAACAGCGCCACCTAGAATTGGACCCCTATGGGAGTAGGGACAAGCAAAGTTTGTCGCAGGGAAACGAAATTCGGAACAGTGATAGAGAACAATGAGACAAGCCAAAAGATGAATTGGAGCATGACCCTATGACGAACAGGAAGTCGGCCATATTGGATCAAACATTCGGCGCCGTTTTGACTTGGGTGTCTACAAAAAGATTCAAGTCCCCGGGGTTTGGTCCAAATGAGCTCAAATTTGACATGTCACATCTACAGACATGAACTCACACTTTTTGGGATACTCCTTACAGTTCGCCCGTAGCACGCCGGCGAATAACGCCTTCATTTCCTGTTTTTTCGGTGACCTGTCACGGCCACAGGCATTGGCCTAGAGAACTCAAATTCAAATCACAATTGTGTGATCCAGGTCTGAATGTAATGAAATATGAAATTTAATAAAAGTGAACTCTATAGCGCCCCCTAGCATAGACGTGAAACGTCAACATTATCGGATTTGTACCAAATTCGGGGATTAAATTCTATGCATGATGACAAGCAAAAAAGTTTCTTATGGACATGGGGTCTTTTTCACAGTTGGCCAGCAGGGGCGCAAAGACTCCCCCAACAAATAGTTAAAAAATTATTACACAGACAGGCTTAGTCCGATCGTGCTGAAATTTGAATCATCAATGCCTGATCACGTCCTGAATATAATAAACTATAAAACATATGAAAAGTGAACTCTATAGTGCCTGGTCCTGGTTTAGACCTGGTTTAGTCCTGGTTTAGTCCTGGTTTGACTCAAAATGTGAAAACAGGAAAATACCACCATGTAATCCATTTATTTCAACAAAGTAACTGTAATCCAATTACCACTCACTGAAACAGTAACTGTAACTGAATACAGTTACTCATAATTTATACTCTGATTACATATCTCCAGTACATGTAATCTGTTACTCCCCAACACTGGTCATGTGATCGTATATTTACAGTAACGGAACACACATTCATACAGCTTTAACTTTTTACGATTCGTTTTTATATTTTACAGATTTGAGATGGCATTTTGTTGCTTTTTCTTCCTTTTTTTTTCCACCAGTTGTTGTTTGACCAGTGCAAACTTTAACTCTTACAACAGTGAACTTTACACTTTCGATTCAAATACCATGAAATCAAACTGAAATTGGCAGAAATTGAACGTTTATTTCATGTGCGTGGCTGCGTTGACTTGGTGTTGTCACGGTGCTGAAATTTCCAACTCTGTTTCCAAACTAAGAAACAGACTTGATGCTCAATACCGATTCCGATACCGTGATGAGCTCTGCCTGAAAACATATCCAATTACAGGTTGTTTTATAGCTCAAAAATGCTCAGAAACAGGTATTCTGACTGTGAGCGGGGTGGCCACTCCGCAGATCTGACCTGTAACTTGGTCTAGTTTGGTCTCCGTGAAGATAGAAACATTCCAGACAAAGCGAGAACGTCTTAAAACATTTTAAAACGTTCTACACAATGCATCGCTAATGGATTTCAGGTTCCAAAATAAAACTTTTTAAATATTCAGCGTAAATATTTCAAAATTCTGGGTTTGCTGTGAAAATTTGCGACAAAGATCCAAGACGCCAAAGCCTAAACGGATGATTGTGTGCAAGTGACGAACGGCTGATTCGATTGATTCTCTTCTGGGGGCGGGGCTTATCGTGCAAGAACGAAAGCAATGACATTTTGATTAGAGTAATTCTCACCAGAGTGGTTCCCTAAAGCGTTTCCTGGCTGTTAGTGAGTCAGATCGACTCTTTCCAACATTTTTACAGCAAATTTTACACTTTTGACTATTGAATTTGAAGGCTTGAAAATGTCCTGAAGGTTTATTTTGGAATTTGAAATGAAATGAAATCAAATTTGAAAACGGTGCAATGTGTGGAGAGTTCGTCAAATGCTTTAAGACGTTATTGCTTTGTCTGGAATGAAATTTTATTTTTTTTTACACATAAAATATATACTTCATCAAATAAACTTCAGATTTAAAACAATTTTCACAGTAAAAAAATTCAAAGTGACGTTTAAAGTTCAAAATCTGACGAAACAAATGATCTTCCGTAGGTTATGACTTCTAAAAAATCAATACCTGCTCAAATCGACACTTGCTTTAGTATCGATTAGTATCACATTTCCAATACTTTTGCACCGACACTTTCTGCTTTCCAGCTTTTTCTGGTTCGATACCGATGCGATAGTATGAATTTAGGCATCTGCCGATCCCTGATATCAACCAATACCAGAGCAGAGACCGAAAATATAATTTATTTCCTTTAAAAACAAATGGAAACAAAGATCTTATTTATCACAGAAGTAATTACAGAACAGCTTTGAAAAACATACGAAGATCAATATTACAAGGTGTTTTGGGCCAGTATTGGTGAGTAAATTGTCTAATTACACCAGTTTATATACGAAAATGGGATATTATTTAAATTTTCAGAGTTAAAAAATTCAAAGTGACGTTTAAAGTTCAAAATCTGAGGAAACAAATGATCTTCCATAGGTTATGACTTGAGCCCGACCCATGTATCGGTTGGCCGATCGGTCGATATGAGCAGATAGCCGATATACTTGCTGATAGGGGCCGATATTTCATGTGGGCATGTTATATGTCGTTATAAAGCTTAGACTCTCTACATTATGTTCATTTAATCCAATTTACAGACAGATAAATGTCCAGATATGTGGTTCCACATCAGTATTTATCTGCGGAGTCATTTATCTGTGTGTGTCCGTACTGTCCCTGAACACACCACAGAGTCGCGTGTGTTTGTTTACACTTGCAGGCATAGATCCATGTGCAACACTGAGATTATTTTCTTTTTATGGACAATCGGTTTGAGTCTGGACTAAAAAGACATTTATTAGTGCAGACTTGTGATGTGGGAGGAGCCTGTGTGAGGCTGAGTGTTGGAAATATGTCGACTTTGAAGCTAGTTTTGGTTCGTTCTGATAGGTTAGAGATTAGCTGCTGTCGCTCTCGCACATAAACAGGCTGTTTTCTATTGGTCTATTGAAAAGTGACTATGTTTCCCGTATATTTGTTACTGGAGCTGCATTGATATGTAAATGAGCTGTGAATAGACGTGTGAATGATGACATTTGCACATATAATTAATTACTGCGGCGTGAAGCATTTATGGCTAAAGGCTAATAGCGATTGTTTATTTACTCGCTAGTAGTGATGAGTCGGTCGCGAACTAAGCGGCTCTTAGAGCCGGCTCTTTGAAGCGAACGACGGGAGCCTGATCCTTATTGGGAGTCGTGTTTTCTCTTTCTCTTTTTTTCTCTTCACGTGGCGTACAGACTTGTGGTAGTTTGACAGCGGCAGCGGCTCAAAACGAAACACTTTTCAAAAATCTATGTGTGCATAGGATAAAAAAAAAGTGCATATATATATATATATATATATATATATATATATATATATATATATATATATATATATCTATTTTTTTTCAGCATAAAATAAATAAACCAGGACTAATCTTGGGGTCGAGAGAGGGAGAGAGATAGAGACCGAGTCCCGACACTGAGTCCTGGTTCAGTTCTGGTTTAGACCTGCTTTAGACCTGCTTTAGACCTGCTTGACCTATGACATATCATGAAAGAGGCAGAATAACAATAAATGTTGCCTAAATAAACCCACTTTAAAATCCACAAGAGCCAAACGTAAGTTTTTTAAACAATTCAAGACTTACAGTAAATTTTTTCATCACTAAATATATCGGTGATTATATCGGCTATCGGCAGCTCCAACTCCCATTATATCAGTATCATATCGGCCATAACAAAATCCATATCAGTCGGGCTCTAGTTATGACTTCTAAAAAAATCTATACCTGCTCAAATCGACACTTGCTTTAGTATCGATTAGTACCAGATTTCCAATACTTTTGCACCAACGCACCAACGTTTTGGGTCAGTATTGGTGAGTAAATTGTCTAATTACACCACTTTATATATACGAAAAAGGGATATTGTGTAACAGTTGCAGATTCTCCGTGTACAGAAGACAGGACGCAGTGTGGAGTCAGTCCACTTTATTCCTGGAACATATAAATACTCTATTAATATGTCTGTGCGTATCAGCACCAGCTCCCCTCCTCTGCAGTTTCCAACGTGCTACTCAGAGGGCAGATTACACGTACAGACCGGCTCATTTATGTAAATCATGTATGAACAACAAAATTATTTCAAATCCAGTGCAGTGGTGCAGCTATCCGAAGAAACAAATGCACAATTCACACCCTTCACTAAAATAAAACCAAATAAAACATACCTGTGACATTTAAATACTCAGTGTTGGGAAGGTGACTTTTAAAATGTATTCCCCTACAGATTACAGATTACAGATTACATACCCCAAAATGTAGTTTGTAACATAATCCATTAAATTACTTAAAGTGAGTAATGTAATCTGAATACTTTGGATTACTTGATTTGCTGTAGAGAAGCAAAGACGAGGAAATCTTCACATAAGATGTTTTGTCTGATAAAAGAAAATGAAAAGCCCAGTGTTTCTGCTGCCTTAAATTATGTCCACCCGACAGTTTGGTGTCATATTGTTTATTTAAAAAAAAAAAAAAAACTTTCAGTACAAACATAAAGGCGCCAGCCCAGTAAAAATCAGTAATATTTGATGTTTTTTACTCAAAATGATGCAGAATCTGATTATTAACAGTAATGTTAAATCCTAATTTAGTCCTGTTTTAGTCCTGGTTTAGTCCTGGTTTAGACCTGGTTTAGACCTGGTTTAGACCTGGTTTAGTCCTGGTTAATTTCTGGCAATGAATGGAATTACTGAAATAAAAAAAAATAAAAAAGGAATATAGTCCAAAATGTGAAAACAGGTAAATACCGCCGTGTAATCCATTTATTTCAACAAAGTAACTGTAATCCAATTACCACTCACTGAAACAGTAACTGTAACTGAATACAGTTACTCATAATTTGTACTCTGATTACGTAACTCCGGTACATGTAATCTGTTACTCCCCAACACTGTAATTACTCTCTATTAATATGTCTCTACGTATCAGCAAATTTTTACAATACAAATAAAATACACAAAACTCAAAACCAGCGCACCACAACACATTCACTACATGTAAAAAGTTAGCTTATCAATATGTGTTCTTGTATTTTTGCTAAACGGACGCTGTTTTTGTGAAATATATTCACCGTCTGCAGTTTCCAATGTGCCACTGAGAGGGGAAATTGAACTACCAAAATAAAATACACAAAATAAAATGATAAAATTATTATTAAACATATTATTGTCATGTTGTATATCATGTTATTATTAAACATGAAATACAAATTAAAAAAATAGTAACATGTGCATTTTTAACTCCGTTACATTGGCTCAACCGATATTCTGGGACCAATATTGGATCCATCAAAAAATGGTTCGATATTGGCGGCGATTTCCATTCCCAGTATTTTGTCAGTGCATTTCTACTCTTGACACCGTTTCACTGAACTAAACAATGCTTTTTTGTTCACTTTCAGCTGAATTGTGACGACAGCTGTCCCTCCATGTCCTGGACCTCTGCCCGTTTGATCGCAGTCTCCAGCTTTTGTTGTCCGAACATGAAACCTCCTTACGGAATACCAGGGAACTGACATCCATGCGCCTTCCCAACCACCATGGAGGATGTCCCGGAGCGGGGAGGAGGAAGGCGCACCGTGGAGGGTCAGGCGGACAACGTCGGACCGCTCTAGGATGCTCACTGCGGATCTGACAGGAAGACAAAAGCCAAACACTGGAACACAAAGAGGAGAGGCAGGGACTATTTTACAGAGAGAAAACACGGCGGAAGAACGCGTGAGTGTACAGGTGGGTAAAATCCAATCTGCTTTATTTCTATAGTGCATTTCACAAATAAACAGTTTCCAAAGTGCTGCACAAATACATAATAATAACAACAATAAAAGATGATAAAATAAACTACTAAAATAATACTTAAAATAATAAAACCAATAAAATAAAATAAGAACAAAATTATAGAATAGAAATAAATAAACCAATAAATAAATTAAATCAATAAAAAACACATAAAAATAAATAAAAGACAGAGAGGAGCACACAACTCACGCGGTGTTAAAAGCCAGAGAATAAAAGTAAGACGAGACTTAAAACTCTCCACTGTGGGGGCTGTTGGGCAGAACGTTCCAGAGCTTAAACCGCTGTCACACCTTGACGATTTAGCCAGCGTATGCCCACGTATGAACAATTTGGCAAATACGCTGATGTACGTCGGATAAGTTCTAGGTAAGTATTGTATAAGTTCTGAGCACGCTGAAGCACGCTGGCATACGGCCACATACGGCAAGGTCGTCGAAAAATTTTGAGCATGCTGAAAATTTCTCGTATGTCAGCGTATGTTTATACGTCCTGCAGACACGGGCCATAAGTTGTTGGTAAGTTATGTGATCGTTGACACGCGTTAATTGTAAGTTTCTCATAAGTCCAAATACGTTGAGAAAATGTCTAGCGCACACATAACTTATGAGTAACGTGTTTTGAACCTATGTGTAACTTATATAGAACTTATCTCCAACGCATATTGACGTATGCAGACGTATTTGACATGTTCCAGATGACCGCAGAACTTACTGAACGTGTTTCTAACTTGTAGCTACCGTATAATGGTGTATTAGCAGTGTTTAGGAGAATCGGTATAAAAATGGGGAGGAAACCGTCAGTTCTCCTCCAGACTTTGTGCTCCCATGTATCATATGAGCCGATGCAAAACACTTGATCAGAGAATACTTCGGCCACAGAGGATATCAGACAGTGGGAAAATGTCCTCACTGAGAGCCGTAGGAAACAGTCATTTGCATTAAAAAAAAGAAAAGAAAAAAAGAGCGTCATGTAGGCGATCTGCGGAGAACACCATACACCCTAACCGATCAATTCATTACGCCAGCTCAATAAGGAGACTTTATTACTCACCCTGTATTATCCATAGAATTTGTCCTCCGCAAATAATGACATCCAGTCGACAAAACCGCGCTATTAATCCATTTGAGTCGTTCTTTGAAAGTAAAAGGCGAGAGTCGCACGTGTGTTTGTTTACGTTCAGCACACGTGTGAAGCTGCAGTTTAGCGATAGTGACTCTACTTCCTGTGGACTTTATCTCCAGTCTTGCACCACATTTCACAAATAATAATAACTCAGTTTTGTCTTGTATCTAACCTAGAAGTGCAGAGCTCTGAGATCTAGAAGTGCAGTGGTGAGTGGTTTTACTGTAGACAGGAAACAGCTGACACGATCAGGCTCACAACTTTACAGCCTGTGGTCCGCAGACAGATCCCGCTGCTCTATAGGCTACCTACCAACCTATCAGTCGATCTGTTGCATTCTGCACCATGTACAGAGAGAGTTTATATATATCATTATATGTGATATATCATATGATATGATTTTAGTTGTCGAGTGGCAGCCTTTTAATAGGTGACGAGACGTGATCGTCAGCGATACGCTGCCGTGCGCTATGCAGAGGTTAGACTGTCATTAGGCATAAGTTGTGGATACTGGCAACATGCTCAGTATTGGTTGGTATAAGTTATATATAAGTTAGCAAGATGTTCTATATAAGTTACTAATACGTTAAGTATACTTCCAAGTTGTTATGAATATGCTGTGTATATGGCCAAAATTGAAAAAAAAAACATCAATGGTTCAGCGTATGCCAGCGTTTTAGGGAAATCCTGGTACGTCGGCATACACTTTCTAAATCGTCAAGGTGTGACAGGGCCTGGTTTTAAGTCTTGGGCACCACAAGCTGGAGCTGGCCCTCGGACCTCAGAGCGCGTGGGGGTATAAATCTGAATGAGGTCCGAGACGTACTGAGGGGCCAGTCCATTCAAAGCTTTAAAAACAAACAATAAAATCTTAAAATGAATTATAAAATTAACAGGAAGCCAGTGCAAAACATCATTTACAAAATAAATAGTTGACACTGCTGATGAAAACATGAGGGCAGGACAATAAGGGACGCAGTTTAAACAACGGAGCCATGGGTGTGGGGTGACCGGATTATCAAAATAAAAAAAACTGGGACAAATAGTTATGCACTCTATGTCAGTACAGTCACATTTTCTTATGCTTTGGTCTTTTTTAAGCAGCTTTTCTGTATTTTACCTAAACAAATGACAGTTTATACCTCTTTTTACTGTTGGCAGGGATCAGACTGGTCAAAAATAGGGACACCCAGGACATTTCTTGTATAAAACTGTTACAAATCACTGGTTTTGTATAAATCTGTTGGGACAGGGGACACAGGACTCAAAACTGAGACTGTCCGGGACATCTGAACACACTATATGGTTGTGGGGTTTAGTTGCAACGAGCTACAGTATCATATTAGCGTAAAATATTGAAATTAATATTTACTTTTACAATTCTCTTGTGAGATTTAAGCCATGTTATAATGTTGTTACCTTGTCAAAAATATGGAGTTGTGTTTCGTTTCATTCACATGTTTGAGTAACTCTGCATTATTATTAGTCTGTCTACATCTCCAAAGCTCCAAGTTAACAGCTACTTTTGACCTTTAGTTCAGTAAATTGCCATTTCCAGGACTGAAATTATCCAAATGATTCTAGGAAAGGTGTGTGAAGTTTAATAACAGTGTTGGACATCCTGTGTGATTATGTGACATCACAAGGTGGACCAGTTTTTTCAGTTTGAGAGAAGAACTCAGGCCAAATCTGCAGGGTTTTTGAGTTAAACGTGTGATCGAAACAAAACACAACTCCAGTACACAACATAATCACATTACACAACCTAATCTGGGATCTTTAAAACAGGACCATCACAGGAAACCGATTTTTGCAATCATATGAAACAGAATGTGGTCAGGAATATACATGTAGTACAATCAAACACGAGTAGGTACTTCTAGTACTACTACCAATAATAAAGCCTTGAAATTGAAGTTGAGGAAGGTTGACAAATTTTAAAAAGTATTTTTCTAACACGGGTACCATGTAATCTTTCTGCACTTTCATAGTTATTTGAACAATACCTGTCGTAAGACTATATAAGTACATTTAAATCTAACAAATAATTATGAACAGTGTTGGGGAGTAACAGATTACATGTACCGGAGTCACATAATCAGAGTACAAATTATGAGTAACTGTATTCAGTTACAGTTACTGTTTCAGTGAGTGGTATTTGGATTACAGTTACTTTGCTGAAATAAATGGATTACATGGCGGTATTTTTCAGTTTTCACATTTGGGGTTATATCCCTTTTTTCTTTTCTTTGGTAATTCCACTCATTGCCGGACACAAAACCAGGTCTAAACCAGGTCCAAACCAGGTCCAAACCAGGTCCAAACCAGGACTAAACCAGGACTAAAACCAGGTTTAAACCAGGTCTAAGCCAGGACTAAACCAGGACTAAAACCAGGTCTAAACCAGGACTAAAACCAGGTCTAAACCAGGTCTAAACCAGGACTAAAACCAGGTCTAAACCAGGTCTAAACCAGGACTAAAGCCAGGACTAAACCAGGACTAAAGCCAGGACTAAACCAGGTCTAAACCAGGACTAAAACCAGAACTAAACCAGGTCTAAACCAGGACTAAACCAGGACTAAAACCAGGAATAAACCAGGACTAAACCAGGTCTAAACCAGGACTAAACCAGGACTAAAACCAGGAATAAACCAGGACTAAACCAGGACTAAACCAGGTCTAAAACCAGGACTAACATGAACAATACATGTCATGAGCCCATATAAGTCCATTTAAATCAAACAAATAATGATGCAATATGTGTTTGTCTGTTGTCCTCTAGTTGCCAAACATTCAGCTGGAGCTACACAAGTGGAACGTCGAGCCAGAGAGCGCAGAGGAACTCAACTGGAAACAGGTACGAGCACACACCATCAGGAGAAGACAGGGCAGATGCAAACCAGATCAGTTGAAAAGACGGTAAACTGGAAATTCGACTTTTTGGAGAGTTCTACCATCCCATGCCATCCCTGCGTGTTTGAGTCATCTCTACCGGTCTCTATTCAAACTCCTCCTTATTTTATTGACTGGCGTGTGTAATTATCAAGGTTCGTGACAAGCTGGCTTGTTCCTCTTGTTCAAAATGAAAGTGAAACATACTAAACATGATACATTCATTTCGGTGACAATAGTATTTTTAAAACAGTAAAAGGTACATACAGAAAAATCCCGCACACCGTCTTACTTGCAAACTGTGAAATTTATTAGGACAAACCGTGCAACGTTTTGGCACTAGGCCTTCGTCAGGCAAACCAGTAAAAGGTAACATGGTGATCGAAATACAGTATGTTATGTGTTAGCCGTTAATACCTTATAGAAGTACTAAGTAATACTAAATTTTTTACGTATTTTTCGGACTACAAGAGTATAAGTCGCACCAGCCAAAAAATGCGTCATGAAAAAGAAAAAAACATACCGTATTTTCCGCACTATTAGTCGCTCTGGATTATAAGACGCACTGTCATTAAATGGTCTATTTTCGAACTTTTTTCACAAATAAACTGCACCGGACTTTAAAGGAAACACAACAGTTGGATGGGTGAGTGGTTTTGTTTGTTTGTGGCGTTCACGGTGACTCTGGGCTTTGTTCAGTTGTGGCGTGTAGGGAGGGTGTGTCTGGGACCAACGGATTGTCGGCGTGTTCACAGTGACTCAGTTGTTCAGTTGTGTCTAGAAGTGGCACATTGCACTCGCTTTTTCGGTTTGTTCCTCCGTTCCGTTCCTCGTCGGTGTGGAGTGATGAGTGTGTCTGTAGGTGTTTTTCGCTGTGCGGTCGCTGTCTGCTCCCTGTGTGTTTGCGTGCACTGCTGATGGTGCGGCTTTGTAGTTTACTGAAGTCGCGTTGGGACACCCAAGTGGATTCGTGTACAGGGCGCTCTGGATTATGGGGCGCACGGTCGTTTTTTGATGGGGTTGGAGGATTAAGAGCGTGCCCTATATATATATAAATATGGTATATAAGTCACACTTTTTGGGGTAAATTTATTATTTAATATCAGAGACCAGGAACCGACATTTCCTGTTGAAAGTCAAGTTCTAGTAATACCAATAGAAGAGAGAACATCAGACTATTCTTCAGATAACTATAACATAAACAACAAAAGAGGTTATGGGAGGTTGTTCTTTTTCTTTTTTCTTTTTGTATTTAAAAAAAAAAAAGAAAAGAAAAAAAGAAACTTGGATTGCAGTAATTGTTAATATATATGTACTGTATTTTCTGGACTATAAGTCGCTCCGGAGTCTAAGTCGCACCAGCCAAAAAATGCGCAACGAAGAAGTAAAAAACATATACAAGTCGCATCGGACTATAAGTCACACTTTTTGGGGAAATGTATTTTAGAAAATCAGAGACCAGGAACTGACATTTTATCTTGAAAGTCAAGTAAGTTCTAGTAATAACAATAGAAGAGTGAACAACAGACTGTTAATGTCACATATGAACAGTTCTTCAGATAAACTATAAAATAAACAACAGAACAGAACAAGTTTAACAAACTCTCCATCTCACTGCAAATCACGAAATCTATTCAATTCTTCATCCTCGGTGTCAATTCTGAGCAACTCCACGACCTCTGGAGGTAAACAGAGCGCCTCTTCCTCTTCTGTGTCACTGTCGTCAGACTCAGCATCAGTTCCAGTTAGAATTATTCGGGCCTTTCTGAATCTCGACAGGATGGTTTCGGTGTCACTGAAGTCCAGGCTTTGTCCGTCCATCCAGTGACTTCCAGGAAAGTTGCATGTTGCACTGTTCCAGTTGCCGTGAAGCTGTGTTCTCCATCCCCGCTTTCCTCCAGTTCCTCGCAAGTTTCTCGCTCACTCCAAACTTTCTTTCTGCTGCTCAATTACTGTTTTTGGCTGAATATTTCACTACTTGCAGCAGGACAGAGGCTCTTTCTGCAGGAGACATGTGCAGTAGAGTGAAGTAACGGTGGTACAGGAGTAAAAGGAGCAGCAAATACTGACACACAAGACTAGAGCCTCTCACCGCTTCACTGTGAACATTTTAATATATAAGTCACACCGGAGTATAAGTCGCAGGAAACAGCCAAACCATGAAAAAAAGTGCAACTTATAATCTGAAAAATACGGTATTTCGTCAGGCTTCATATGTTGTAGTTGTTGAATTGACAGTAGCGAAAATAGCCCTACATTTTTTAAATAGAATTTATAGAAAAATACATTTAGGTAGTATAATGTCATTGTCAATAGTTATTATTTACAATCATTTACTATTACTATTACCAATATCTGATATTTGGCCTGCTGCTGTGGTCAATATTTAGCTTTTATAATCCATAGCAAAGCCCACAACTTTATCCTAAAAGTGCATTGTGTAACTTTTCTAGTGGAGGGTCAATAGCACATTTCATAAACAAAACCGTTTCCAAAGTGCTGCAAAAAAAAAACCAAAAAAACATGTCCAACAGAGATATAAATTAAAGCCCTATTTAACTCCACTACTCCTTGTTAAAAAGACAATAAAACTAGTCAAATCAAACAAGAGCAATAACACTAATAAATAATAAAAAGGTGCTGCTCTGACTTTATGACATTACAGCTCTACTTTATGGCTACGTTCAGATTGCAGGGCTTAATGCTCAATTCGGATTTTTTTTTTGTGAAATCCGATGTTTTTGCGAGGTCGTTCACATTTCCAATTAAATGTGACTTGTATGTGACTCCAGTGTGAACATTAAATGACCCAATAGTGTCCCACATGTGCACTGGAAACACGACGACGTCAACCGCAGCGAGCGTGTTCTGTGTTTATGGAAGTTGTCCAAACATGGACGCAGCATCGAGCACCTGGAGATTTTAAAGTTCCTCTCGTACCGGAGCCAGAACATGAACAACTTACTTGTTTTAAAGAGGAGATTGAGAAGGAGAAGGACGAGGTTTTTGGCCATGGTGTTTTGTGGGACAGCGGCAGCAACGTCCGTTGAAAAGAACATGTGGATGCGGAGATGGAGCCAAGAGTGGTGAGTGGTGATGTGCTTCACTTCAGTGACACAGAGTTCATTAACAATTTTCATATGACGAGAAGAATGTTTCTGTACATTTGATAACGTGTAGGTCGGATAAATGCGCTTTGGCCGTTCAGACTGAAGTCGCATGTCAAATGATCAGATATGTATCAGTTTCAGGAGCACATATCCAAGTGTCCTGGGTCACATTTGAAAAAATCGGATCTGTGTCGTTCAGACTGACATTAAAAGATCAGATACAGGTCACATAGAGGCTAAAAAATCGGATTTGGGTCACTTCAGGCTGCAGTCTGAACGTAGCCTATATTTATTCAGTTACAGGTGGTCAAAAATGCAAAAATACCTTAAAAAACAAGCATTCTGGCTGTGACTGTGTTGCCTCTCCACAGATCTGACCTGTAACGGGTCTGGTTTGGTCTCCATGGAGATAGAAATGTTTAATGGCATACTCTGAAACATTCCAAACAAAGCAATAACATGTCCACGGCGTAACATTTTAGGGCTCTTGCATCAGAAAAGTTACATCACTAATTAACTAATGTAAACAAAAAGCATTTACACTGATACCGGAACTGATATAATTACCCAACTGTCATTACTATTCCAATACTCGTCCTTGTGCTTAGTGCAGTTTGAGGTTACGCAGCTGTGGATTTCATTTGTGCAGATATGATCTACTGTCAGGTGTGTAGCAATAAACAATGGTCATACTGATAGTCATACCTCTAGATGAACTAAAGTGATAGGTATTTTAGTGGCAGTCTGGCCTAGTAGGTATTATCTTTTACTGCTATTTTTACAACCGTGTTCATAGTGAAAGTGAAACAAATGCCAGGTGTCTTCTTGTAAAACTTGACAACTTCACAGAAATACACAAATAGATACTTCATTACTTTCTTACCAGCTGTCACTACATTAAAAATAAAAAGAGCAAAAGAGCAATATAAACAGAAGTGGGTAGAGAATGTTACTTCAAAATGTTAAAGAAGTATAAATAGTATAGTAGTATAAAGAAGTATCTCCAAATAATTTCCCTTGTGGATCAGTAAAGTTTGTCAAAGTGCTGATTAAAGAAATTACTCAAGAGTAGAAAAGTATTAGTAACTGTAAAATCTGATTTATAATTTGACGTTAATAAAATATTGCACAACATTTGATATTTATAGACACAAAATACAAGTACAAGAAACACAAATCATCTTGTTATTGTCAACATTTGTACTTGTACACTTTGTACTTGTAGAAATATGTTTTTGTTTAAGCAGGAGTAAAAGTATGCAGCTAGAAAAGTACTCTGAAAAGTTCAAGTAATACAAATCTAAGAAACACAAACCAGTTATTACTGTTAACATTTGTACTTGTAGAAATGTGTTTTTCTTTAAGTAGGAGTAAAAGTATGCTGCTAGAAAAGTACTGTGAATAGTACAAGTACAATTCCCAAAAAAGTTACTCAAGTAAATGTAACTGGGTGCTTTCATTAAAACGTCTCCAACAACTTTGTAGCAGATCTTTGCTTGGGTGAGGCTTTGGACCGGGGTTGTTCTTTTTCTTTTTTCTTTTTTTAATCCAAAAATACAAGTATAAATATTATAATAGTATAAAGAAGTATCTCCAAATAATTTCTCTTGTGGATCAGTAAAGTTTGTCTGAGTACTGGTTCAAGAAATTACTCAAGAGTAGAAAATGTTTGTGAAAAGTGATTAGTCAAGAGTAACCGTAAAATGTGATTTATAATTTGACGTTAATAAAATATTGCACAACAATCTGGTATTTATAGACACAAAATACAAGTACAAGAAACACAAATCATTTGTTATTGTCAATATTTGTTCTTGTACAATTTGTACTTGTAGAAATGTGTTTTTATTTACAT